TTCTATTGTGCAGGTGTAGAACTGATTACAGTACTTAGGAAAGGCTGTCTACTCCAAGAAACATCTTATTTATGATCTTTTTCCTTTAAATTTTCCTACTAGCAAGATTATAGGCCTATGCAGAGCGTCTTTGAGATCAAAGCGAGTGTAGAGATTTTTTTTTTCAGATGTGTACAATCCAAACTTATTTTCTACTGGTACTACCCAGATAATTTTGAAAATGTTTTTCAAATGTCCTTAAAAAGCTTACATGGCCTTAAATAGGACCTATCATATCTATTGGCCAAATGGCTAAGCTAGTGATGGTATCTTCTCAAGAACTCTGTTGAGCTTTTGCTATGTTTGATGTAAGGCAGTCGTTGTCCCCCTGCTCTACAATTTTTAAAACTTATTCAATATTTTTAAATGTTTTGAGAATTTATTCTATTTTTTTCTCTTTCAAAGTGTTTGAATTTTTAAAAAAATCCAATTGGGTATGCCTTCTTAGGAATGCCTTGAGAATACCCTTCTAGTTCAGGCTGGCCCACGGTAAGGCCTAAAATAGGTCTGCCACACATTTTTGGGGTTTACAATTTATTAGAGCTTTTTCTGATAGCCAAATAGCCCTTTAATAAAGCCATTCACATCCTTATTGATCTTCTCCCCAATAACTTTCCGAAAGAACTATGGAAAATCAGGAAACTGCTGGGTTTTTTTTTATATCTCAAACTGTACTTCTAAATTATCACTTTTCCAACTCCACAGACACTTCTAATTCCAGTATAAAATGCAACCAGAATTGAATTGAGCTGCATCAGCATGAGAAGTAACTGATTCCTTTTTTTTATTTGTAGAGTAGTTCACAGGCAGATAAGGCAGTCCTCCTTTTCAACAGGCAATTGGATCATTTGTAAAGAAAGTATTGAGTTGCTTATAGCTGGCTAGACTTTTTGCTTCCTTTACATTGGCTGTTCATTTCAGAGATAGCAACTGCCTTAAATTGATTTCTCCCCAAAGAAACAGATGGCATTTGCTGAAATTCTGAGCAATTGCAAGCATGTAGTACAACATCACTTGATCACTGGGTTTCATCTCAAACCAAAGCTGGGTTTGCATCCTTTATTTCAAAAGATTACAAGGGCCACGATGGTGACACTCTGATATCACCCGAAACCCGTTTAAGTAACATTGAATCTCTTTACCTTCTAGTAGTTTTATCATATAAGTGAATTTTTGCTTGCATTTTTGAAATGTTAGTTTATTATAAAACTTCATAAGAAAATTGCCTTTCAATGGAAAAAAAATTACTCCATGCCATTTGTTTTTGACAACATTCTCTTATGACTCTTATATGTTAGATACAATTGAATCAAGTCCCAGAATTAAAAATAATATTCTCTTCATGCAGTATGCAGAGTGGTTTTTCCCAAAATGAGAACTGAATCTGGGACTTTCTACATTCAAACATGAACTCATCCTCTGTGCTATGGTCCCTATCTCAAAATTATACTTAAGCTTTCAAGAGTAAGAGTAATAGAGTCAGTGATATCAATAATTCAGAAGAATCATTCTTTGAAAACATTCCAGAATTTGCTGTACACAGAAAAATACTGCCTTTGTCTTTGCTCTGAAAATTCCACAAAGCTGGATTTTTTTAAAGTCTTATCTTAGGCATAGCTGGCATAGATACAGAACAAATTAGCCACAGACTCAATGGGACGAGCAAGTGCATTAGAACAGTGTTTCTCAATGTCAGATGTGTGGACGTCAGTTCCCAGAATTCCCCAACCAGCGTTCAGCAAGCATCCCCTCTTGGAATTCTGATGAGTCCACATATCTTAATGCTGCTGAAAAGAAACACTGCATTAGAGCACGTGAGGATAGTCAATATCCCTTCAACATGATTCCCAATAAGAACTTGATTGGTCCAACTTGCATACAGGCAAACCAAATAAATTACATCCACTGTCCTTCTCCTTCTCCTGCATCTGAAACCATTCTCTGCGTTCTCTGTGTCCAGATTAACTGCTGCTGTGGCTTCGTATTTTTGCTGAAAAAAGTGCAAAGTACTATTCAGAAAATCAATATGGCTGAGTATTTCTGGTATGGAAAGCGGATGAATAAAGGCACTTAGAAACCAAAGAGTGGAAACTTGATCATATTACATCCTCTATAGAAACATAAAAATACTAGGGGGTGATTCAAAATAATTTGATGCCTTTGGAAAGCAGCACCCACATCAAAGCAACCACTGAACTGTTCTCTAGCTAAGGAGAATGTTAGAAATAGACTCTGATGCAGGGCAAAGCTTTGTGCGCAGGAGAAACAGAGGTCCTCCTTTTGAATGTCTACAGATCTCATAAACACAACCCCAAAAACAACAAAAAAAGAGAAAAAAACTCGCATTGCTTTGTATTTTTCAAAACAGTGATAGACTCGGTTTAAAATATTAATTCAAATCTCCTCCAACCTAGTGCCATCCACTTGTGCTGAATGTCAGGTCCAGTACCAGGTAGGGGCTAAATAGAAAAAAAAATAGGTGGCTCCAATGGCTATTTTGAAATACCTTTATTCTTTTTATAGCATCATTTATGGCAATGTTCCAAATTCAGCATTCCCATCTCATTGAGTTTTTACATAAATACAAACATTATTTCTGTTGCAAAGATCCAATAACTGCCCTTCCCCATGAATATCTGGCTTACTTATCTCATGTAAATCAGTGTTTGCTATTTTTTCTCCAGTGAGAAAGCTAAAACATTGCAGAAGCAATACGTGTGATCTAGGGAGAAAAACTGCCGCTGAATGATTCAGAATATACTGATGCTACACCAATACAATATAAATATACTGTCATTTCCACCATGATGGACATTTAATAGTTAAATATTTATTGATTTAGTATATTTTCATTGAAATCAAATGTTCATTTTTCTATATATGGTTCCTAATCATAAATTTGATCGTAGAATATTAGAACTGAGTCTGGTTGCTCCATATGTCCTTCCACTCTTCTACTTCATCAACCATAATCAACATAATTAATGCAAATCAGCCATTTTGACACATTGTTCACCATGGCATATTTGAATATTAAACACATAAAGCATCAATCCTTTCTTAAACCAACAACAAAACATCAGGCTTGGAATTAATACTATAAATTACCATTACTAAACTAATACTAGCAATTTATCCACAAGTGCCATGTGAAATAGATTCACAATGTTCTGGACAAAATATAGCTTCATTTGCTTCTACTTATTTTGTAAGCACTTTGTGCCATTAAATTTACTTCTGCTTGTATTAGAAAGGAAAGCAAAGTGATAAAAAAATTTTTACAGCTCTCCATTTTGTCTGATTGCTAAGAGAATAAAAGGTGTTTTAAACAATCCTGTCCGATCTTCATCTTACCAGGTACCTTTAAATTGAACTGGTGACCTTTTCTGCTTCAAAAATTTATTCCAACACACCCATTATTCATCTCAAGAAAACTAAACCACTTCCTTTGATGATCTGATGGTAACAGCAGCAACAGACCCTCAACGACTATACGCTAGCAACAAAAAACAAGGAAACATTTTCTAGCTACCCAAGTAACTTTTTGCCAGACAAAAAAAGGATGAATCATATTCTTCCATTGCAAAACTTTCAGGCTTCTGTTAGAAATGTATTGTCAGAAGAGGATAGATATTTTAAAGCTATTCTTCACAAAACTTTTCCATAAATGAACATTTCCAAAGTTTGAGCCACAAATTAGGGCTTTGTGAACTCACTCACAAGGAGCCTAACAATGAAAATTGAAGCACCTAATCAGAATAGTTCCCAAAATAAAAGTAATGCCACTATCCTATTTCTAGCATGTCTTCCCTACAGAAATCAAGCTACTGTTTCCGCTTTTTCCCCCCACCCACGGAAAATTGGCTGATCATTTAAATCAAAAGTTGGGTGGAGCAGGGGAAGGAGGGGAAGAGAACAAGAGAGAGAGGGAAATACATACGGGAGATTAATTCAATTCTATTCTCCAGAAGACAATGCAGCAAAGTAAACTTCATCCCACATTGTAGGCTTTGCCAGATAAAAAGGAAATGTCTGTTTACCTAATTAGAGGACTCCAAAGGCAGCCCAAGAGATTAGTTCCAGAACATTTCCTGTAGCCACCAAAATCTTTAATTCACAACAAACTCTCTTTACAACCCAGGCAGGTGAAACATCTTCCATGTCTCCACCGCAACTCCTTTAACCCCTTTTGTGAGTCAAACTTTCTCATTTGCATGAAAGCCTCCTCCAGCCTATGGGACTTTGAACAGCTACAAGTTACACTAGCTGTCTTAACATGCTTTCCGAGTATGATATCACCCATCTCCATGGTTACCTTAACCCCACCTGCCCATACAGCAAAGTAACCTGTCAGATTCAGACCACAGGATACAATTTAGCTATTTGTCTTGAGTCAATGTTTAACCATCTGCTCCTTGGCACACAATCTTCCAGAAGGTAATTCAGAATTAAAAACAGAAGAGACGTTTATTAAAGGCAAAATAAGTTACTGCATGAATATAGTGCTTTAAAAAACAAGCTTTAGCAACACACTGGTTGTCTGCTTTTCCTGTCCAACAATGCAGAATGAGTATTCCAAAGGGGTATCTACACTCCCAAATGGTAATGCCGATGAGCTGGATTTCATTGAGTTTTAATATTATAGTTTCAGCGTTTTCATTGTTTTTTTTTTTTTTGAAATTATTGTTCTTTTTTTTTTTAAGGAACCAATGATCCCCTCTCAAGTAGTACAACCTGTCAGGCAGGTTTCTCTGGGAAGCTTGCTCTCTCCATTTTATTTAGAAAGCCTGCCTCTTGCTATGAGTTCTTCCTAGCAAATACTGTTTCACTGACTTCCTCCTGGCTTCAACCATGATTTTTATTTCTTTTTTGGTAATATGCTCACCTGTTAAAAGCTTACTCCCGTGGACCTCAGTGTGGAACACAATATTTCTACAAAAGGGAAAAAAATTGCCGTCATCTTCTGGAGTTGCCCTTCCAAATCGTTCAGAACATTTTAATAGAATTCCACTTTTTTCTTTATCTCTCCTTTCTTTTGGTGTACAAATACAACTGGAATCATACATGCTCTTCTTTGATCAAGTCAGACATTCGTGGCCAGGTGAGCAAAAGGTCTTTTTCCCCCATTAGTGTCACAGCACCCCCTGGAGTCGTGACACTTTCTACTATCTTTTCTAGAAATATCTGCCAAAGTGTGTAGGAGATATTTTTGAAACTTGTGCAGGAGGCCATTTTGAGACTTGCTTAAATGGTTCTATTGCTGAGTTGGTTATTCTCTTCACCTAGGATTTGTAACATTGTTTTTAATAAAATGTATTTTTAAGTGACTTTATATTTTTTTACATTGTTGTTTTTACATATAATTTTATTATGCACCACTCAGAGTCAGTGAGATAGGAGACTGTATAAATTTGATTAATAAATAAGAGGCATACCTGTTAGTATATAGCTTGACTTCTAGTACAGTATTGTGTAGATGTCAGTGTTTAGAAAACAATTCTTTCAATAGCTACTCCCTCTAAAATACCTATTAAAAACTTTCAAACCAAGACAAACAATGGGAAATAAAGGGAGCCTATCGCAAAGTATATTTTCTAAAAGTAGCTGCCCCACCATTCCCAAGACACATACGGAAATGGAGGAATTTTAAAATCAGTTTTGAAACTTTGAAGTGACTTAGGTGTATGCTTTCTCTAGAGAAGCTCATTTACAGCACACACTCTCATTTTCTTTGAATTCTGTTAAGAGGAGGAGGAGGAGGAGGAGGAGGAGGAGGAGGAGGAGGAGGAGGTGCCTTTATATCCATGAAAGGGAAACTGACAAACATAACTCCTTACTGTCATTGTACCTGGCTGCTTCCCAGAAAAATTACAATGGATTTGATTGTGTCCCTATAGATTATTCAGAGAGAAAAAAGGTGGTTTCCTGGATCAGCTCCTTGATGAATGAACCCGACAAAAGAGACAAACACAGGATGGCTAAAGCACTGAAATGAATCACCAGGAATATCATGTTGCAAAACACACACACACATAAAACAAAACTTGGCATTCAGTACTGATTATCAGCTAGAGATTTGACTTTTTGCAGAAATGATCTCCATAGCTTCCAATTCATTTGCTATATCTTTTATTACTGGACAAATATTCAGTTTGTGTAGCTATTTCTAGAACAGAGGCCATAGACTTTTCTACTGATACGTATTTTTTCACGCGCGCAAGCATGTGTGTCAGAGAGAGAGAGACTCACGTAATGCAGGTACTGATGTTACTGAATATGTTTTATTTATAGTGTATTCGTAATATGTTTTATTTTAAGCCACTATTTCTAAACTACAAACCATTTGCAGCTTTAAAATAAATATTGATACTGATATTACACTGTTCCAAGATAATTTTTTACAGCATTTTATTCCAGTTTTTAGCAAAACCACATTCATAGCAATTCATTGGTTCACTTTACAATCACCATGTTTGCTTAATGACTGTCACAAAAAAGACTGTAAAAATTGGTCATATGACCAACCCATTTTATGACCATCATGACAAATGAACATAATGGATAGGCTCTATTATAGTCATACTATATGTCAAGGATCACCTGTATATATTATACAGGTGATATATTATAGAATTAGAATATATAGAATATATAGAATTAGAATATATATAGAATATATAATATATAGAATATATTATAGAAACAGACACACAAACACACACACAAACACTAGACATACAAACACTTTTTTCAACTTTACCTTTTGCTTGTCAGCTAGACTTAATCGCCCAAGACTAACTAGATGTGTATCTTCTGGTTGAAGCATCTGGGCACAGATCATAACTTATGCTTTTCTGTCGATCTGCTTTCACCCACCCAGAAAATATTCAGAACATCACCAGCTAGCTGATTCTATCTGACATTTCAGTTTTCCACAGTGCCACTCAAAATGCATCCCTCCGAAATAATGCTAGAAAATTAAATAATGGCTTTTAGCTTCCTGACAATATTCAGAGTACTGGTGGTAAAACTATAAGAGTGAACAACCAAAAAAAGGCTCATTGAAATTCTGTTTGCTCCGAGTGGTTCAAATGTAGAAGCAGCTCTGTTATTAGGTTAGATCAGTGTTTCACAACATTGAGATGTGTGGACTTCAATTCCAGAATATCCCAACATCCTCAGGAAGGCACTGCTAGACCGAACCACACTGGACAATTTTTGTTCAGTATCCACCTTTCTCTTTTTAGGAAAGGTGGTCATGTAACAGCTTCAAATGAACCTGAACAAAATGGATTATCCAGATGCCTTTCAGTTGGGTTTCAGGCCTGGACATGGAACTGAAACCACACTGGTTGCCCTTGTAGGTGCTTCCATCCTTGCTCTACGTGACTTCATAGCAGGCTCTGGTACCACTGACCATAGTCTGGACTGGTTATGAGGTTGGCACTGTACCATGATGTTGTCCCACCCTTAGCCCCCACACTGTGGAATGCCACAGGGTTCAATATTTTCTCTGCTCGATTAGCACCAACATGCTTATCACATAGAAACTGCTGGGTGAGGTCATTCATAACCATGGGATGAGATATTATCAGTATGCTGATGCTACCAGCTCTATATTTCCACCTTTTATGGAGTAATCAGTGCTTCTGATCTCCTGTCTCAATGCTTCAAGGCTGTGGATGGATGATAAACAGGCTTCAGCTCAACCCTGGCAAGACCGAGTAGCTTTGCTTTGGAGGCCATCTGGAATTTACTATCTCTAAGTTATGGATGGGGTGGCCCTGCGGCAGATAGATCCAGTGTGCTTTCTGGAAGTCCTTCTGGAACTTCCTACTAGATGACCAGATGACTGTTGTGCTGGAAAGACATTTGCATAACATTGGCTTGTATGTTTATTGTACTCATTCCTGAAACAGGAGGCCCTATGCTCAGTCACTCATACCCTATTCATCTCCTGCACAGATGACTGTAACGCATTGTACATGGCGCTGATATAATTGTATGTGGGAATGACTTTGAGAGATGAGGGAAGGGGAAGAGAGAGAGAGGAGAGATGTTGCTAGGGAACAATCAGATAAGAAGGGTCCTAGCCTGCAGCTGCATAATGGGTAGAGAAAGAAACTCAGAATGTTCCTCCCCCTAACTTAACAGGCTATAAAAAATATGGCAGGAGATTTATACTTTTATCATGATTCTGCTAATGTAGTCTTACAATAAAGTAAAATTAGCTTATCTGGTCATGTTTCTAGTCTGAACTACCTGGGAAAGCTGAAGGTTCCCTCAAAAAGCATCCAAAAGTGGATGCCACAAAAAAGCATAAGGGAAGGTAACAATGTTCCATGTTTCAGGATACGCTCTGAGCTGTCATGTGCCAGCTACATGATCAGGGAAAGGTCTCTGGACAATGCTAGCTGTTTGGCTTCAGAAATGGAGATAAGCACCACCCCCTAGGGTCAGCTTTAACTAGTATGGTAAAACCTGTAGAGATACCTTTACCTTATAAAGGCAGAAGCTCATGGTCAGTCTTTTTCCTATAGCTCTTTGGACACATGATTTAATCACTGAGGAAGGGAACCCACCCCCACCCCCACACCCACTGCAAATTAATTTAAGAATTATCTGTTGCCGATTGTAATAATATACATATACGTATAACCAAAGGGCAAGTGTCAAGATTTTTTTCCTTGTCTTCTGAGGAACTACGCTGCTCTAAAGTTTACAAATTCATTAAGTATACAATTTCAACCTAATTATGAGTACAAGATACAAGCTAGATTTTTTATTTCAAACTAATACATACAGATCTACTCAGAAATGTGCTCCACTTACAATGGTGGTACACACTTCTTGAAAAGCTCTCCAATTTTAATAAATAAGGCAATCTAAAAAAAATAAACAACAAATACAATTTACTGCATTCATTGACTTAGGAGAAAGATGAAGCTAAAGAATTAAAAGAGTGTCCCTACAGAAGTCTGTTCCAATGCTTACCTTGGAAATATCTTCCATGCTGAAGCTACATATTTACATGACTCAGGAAATATCTAATCTAAGAAAAAGTAATTTCTAAATTATCTTTATTTACCATCCTGCAGTATCTCTGAAGATACTGTAGTTCATCACACAAATAGCAAGCACAATCAATAAAATATCAGTGGAAAAATATGAAGCTTGGGAAATGTTATGAAGAAAAGATAAAAGAGCAGAAAGCATTTCCAGAAATTACAAAGAAATCAGAAGTTTTGAGAGCAATTTTACATGCTAAATGACAGCTAGGGGAAAACATTGTTTCCTACATCATGTGCAAACTTCATGTGCCCAATACAGCTATGTGTAACCACCAATACAAACACACACACACACACACACACACACACACACACACACACATGCTAGATATGGTTCACTCACTTTTCATAAAGATGAGTACATGGTTGTTTCCTTCCATTCTCTGTACAATTCAGCAGTATAATTCAGATTAGATCCTAAACCATAATGTGTATTTTTGGTTTCAGTTTAATAGACTGTACAAATCTCGTCATTTGAGTATTTATGCTACAGTTTAAGGCTTAATGTTTGAATCCCCAACCTATTACTTCCAGACACCAATGCACCTACAAATACAGGTAATTCTCATTTAATGTCCACCCGATCAGTAACTGCCAGTATGGTACTGAACAAAGGGTACTGATGACTGATCTTCATAATTGCAGCCATATAGTAACACCATGGTCGCAATTTGGATGCTTGGCAAACACTTGCAATTACCATGTCACAGCATCCCATGGTCATGTGATTGCCATTTGTGGTCTTCACTGCCAGTTTCTGATAAGCAAAGTTAATGGGAAAGCCAGAAGGTCTTTGGATATGGCAGATGGTGATCATGTAATCAGGGAATGCTGCAACTATGCAGCATTCCTCTAACAATGGCAATTGGGACTGCTGGAGCTGCCACTGTAAGTTGACATAGACATATGACATCACTATTGACCACATCACTTAGCAATGGAGTTCCCACTCTTATTTACAAGCAGTCCTCAACCTACAATCATTCATTTAGCCACTGTTAAAAATTAAAACAGCGTTTTAAAAAGTGACTTACAACCAGTCCTCACAATTACAACCATTGCACCATCCCCACACTCACATAATCAATATTCAAGCACTTGGCAACTTACATGTTTTTACAAATGTTGCAACTATCTGGGGTCATGTGATTGCCATTTGCAACCTTCCCAGTCAGCTTCCAGCAAAGTCAATAGGGGAAGCCAGATTCGCTTAACAACCATTTAACTCCTTTAGCAACCCTGGTGATTTGCTTAATAACCCTGGCAAAACTGTTGTAAAATCAGGCACAACTCATTTAGCAACTGCTTTACTTAGCAGTGGAAATTCAGTTGTGATCGTAAATCAAGACAATCTGTATTTTGATAAGTGAGGACTGCCTGTACCTCCCTTGTATCCATTCAGACTCACATCTCGCTCCATTTTATTATTGATTTATTATCTGTTATCAATTAATATCAACTTGTAGGATTTTCTCCAGGATAATTTTCTTGATAAAATATTGGGGTAGTTTGCCATTACATTATCCCTCCCAGTACAGAATATATGCTTTTGCCATTGTCATTAAAGCGATCATCTGCCTTGTCTAGCATCTTCCTATATTGCAGCTGCATGCTATAGGTGCCAGCTTGCTTTGCTAGGCAGCTGGGAATATATAGTCCTGTCATACACTGACAGTCCTTCAAACTAGTCCAGGCCAGAACCAAAACCATGACTACTAACACTACCCTTATTGTAAGGTTACAAGAGCAGAATCCTGCAAGTTAGAAAGCACTTCCTCCCTCCTCTGCCTTTACTTTCCTGTAAACTAGGCAGGGTTCCTTCTGAGATGTTTTCTCCACCCCTATCCATCCTTTGGACTCAGCTTTCTCTTATGAGACCATTGTCCAGGCTGTGACTTTTCCTCCTGTCTCCCAAAGTTATTCTCATGACATAGCCTATTACATACCCTCCTCCTTTCCAGGAGCATCACTTTGCCATGATAAGGAAGCACACTGGGATCTGAGAAAGGATTTTATTATATTTAGGTTCTTTTAATTAAAAAGAAATGGGAATATAGCAAAGCCCGGCATCAATTTCCATTGTAATCCTTATTTCAAAGAATGCTTTTGGAGCCCTCATCTGCTCTTGAAGCATTATTGGAATTAGACTTGAAAACAAACACTAAGATAGTATGAGGTGGTAGAAAGGGGGAAAGAGTGATAATATCTATGCCTGGAACATTGTTTTTCTAAGCTGTTGGCTTTGTCTTGTAGAAAGCAAGCAAGCAAGCAAGCAACAACAAGATAGACAAACATTCCAACCTC